TGTCTTTTAGAAGAGACATCAAACCAAGGTCCTGTTCGACTGTTGAGGTGGATTGTAAAGGTCCTATGGCACTATTCAAAAAGAGAGGGAGTCTCTCTCTGGCCAACAATCCTCTAGATAAAATTGCTTATTCACTCCACAGCTGTGCACACAACTGGCAGCTGCGTTTTGCCCACAAAGTACACAGCCAATCCACTCTACAATACATCCTGTGGAGTGCTTTGAGACGTCTTGACAACGTGATAAGGTGCTATATCAAATGCAAGGGTTATTAGTATTTTCCTTATCTACTTGCACATGAATGGATGTCACTGTCCAAGATTGGACAGATATCAGCTTTTTTTCTTGAGAGTTGAGACGACTGAAAGGGGGTGATAAAGGGGTTTATGATTATGAAAAGATTTGACTGGATAGGCTGTTGTTGACAAGTCCAAAACTAGAGGACATAAATATAAGGTAGTCAATAGTGGATCTAATTGGGAGTTTAGAATAAGGAACTTCACTGCCGAAAGTGTGATTGAACCAAACCTTTTAAGTCAGAGAGTAGTGAGAATGAGGAACTTCATTACCGAAAGTGTGGTTGAACCAAACAGCATCAATTATTTAAAAACGTGATGCAGACATGAGAGAGAAGGGAATATAGGAGAAGTGGGGCTTGTGTGGAGTATAAACACCAGCATGGACTAGTTAATAATAATAATCCTTGCATTTAATATAGTTCCTTAGCAAGTCCTCTAGACGTCTTAAAGCGCTTCACAGAATATACTGTAAAGTGAATTAAGTATTTTTTGGGTGAAACGTGGCAGCCAATTGCGCAAAATTTCCTAGGTAGATTTTGAAAGAAAGCATAACTGGCCTGTATTCTCTTGCTTGGGCGAGGTAGTGTTTAGTATGGCCTCTGTTATTCTGGCACTGACAGGGGCTCTAGTGTCAGAAATAGAGTACTGCACATTGTAGATACTACTTGCTTAGACCCAAAGATATTATCTGATGTTCTAACCATTCATAAATTTAGATGATTTCCAGTTGTACTGCTCATTTGACACTGGTTCTATGTAATTTTCTTCTGCATTAAATATGTCAGCTCGCGTTGCTCCCGTAAAGTGTGTGGAGATGATCACTATAGGAAGAACTAATACTCTTCACTCCAGAGGAAACCAATTTTGTACTAAAGCTGATAATAGAAAATGTATACAACCTCTCAAAGCACAGTTTTGACTTGAGAAGCAGCTTTCTTGGGGCTGAACTGGCTTTGAGGTGACATGCTGGGCAACAGAATGCCCAAGAGTCGAGTCAACCCTCTGGAGGTGAGACCTTGCTCTCAATGACATGCTGTGCAATTTTAGTTGGTCAGATTCCAGCAGTTACTCTCAGCGCTTAATCTAGGGCTACCCAAACCTTGCTTTACACTGCGCGTATTACACTCTGGAATTGGGTAAACATGAGGTGTCCCTCCAGGGAAAGCATCCACATTACATTCCAGAAAGAGGCACATTTCCTTGTGTAGTACATATGTGGAACTCTTGTCAGGTTTGGTACCCTTTAAGCATTGTGATGGCTTTCCACAAGTCAGATACCCAGCTGACGAAAGGAAAGGTTGTAACAGGATGAGAATTCCACAAATGGAAAGCATCCTTTCCACAGATGTGTAAGTCCAAAATATTTTTTGGGAGTAAACATCTGAAATGATTTTATATTATTTATCCTGAGTCACTCACAGCACATAAAACAGCTCAGGTATAAAAAAATCCAGATGTGACCCATATGAAATGAGGAATTGATTCTGTTCATACTTGAAGCAATATTTTCACATGGGCATAACTGAAAAAAAGAGTCCAGCGATTGATTCATAAGACATTGTCTCCAAACAAATGTCCCCTTTATGCTTTTCATTACAATTAATCGCATTTGATATAGTGCCTTATGTTGTCAAGATGTCTCAAAGTGCTTCACAGGATATACTGTAAAAATGGAGTAGTGACTGTGTATTTTGAATTATATAAAGTTACATTTTATACCCCTAAGTTGGTAATATAGAATCGTAGAAATTTCAGCACAGGAGGAGGCAGTTTTGCCACTCTCCCTGTCCTTGCTGGTTCCTTGGGGATATCTAATCCCATTTTCCTCCTCTTTCTCCATACCTTTTCCTTCAAGTTTTATCGTATTCAGTTTTAAATGTCTCTGCTTTAAGACAATCATGTGAAGTGCTTGATACATCTTTGTATAATTAATCTCATCCCGCTCCAGAAAAGCTTATTTTCTCTTGCTTTCATAATGCTTTCAAATTGTCAGGACAAAGTGTTTCGTGTTGCGCTTTACTGTCAGCAATTGAGCACACCGGAGAAAGAGAAACCAACAGTCATTAAAAGGCCTGGGAACCAGTTATTTATAGGCTTAGACAAATTAACATTGTGACTGACTGACTGAACACAACATGAAGCTTGAAATTAGATTGACGAATTGCCAGTGAAGTCTAGTAAGGACTGGTTAAAGAGTTTGGTGCGGGTGAGCATGTGAGTTTTGGATGAGCTGCATTTTGTGAGTGGTGGATCTCAGGAGACCAGCATTGAGAAGGCAAAGAGTAACGTGTGGATAAGGTACTCTGCAGCATTTGGCTTGGGTAGATAAGGGTAGAGGTAGGCAATGTGGCCGATGTGAAGGAAATCAATCTTGGTCAGGATTAGAACGTGAGGAAGAAAGGAGATCTGAGGATTGAACCAGATGCTGAGATTGCACACAAGTTTCCTCAAATTCGCTGAACCAAACAAATATAAAAGGCATTACTTTAGGACTCAACAGATTTCTTCTGCATAATCACATGATTCAGTATATTGCATTTAGTCAAATCTTGAAATTTTGGCTTTCCTTCTCCCCCTCTTTTCAAATTTCCATCAATTCTCAAAACATCCAACCTGCATTTATATAGTGCCCTTGAGACGGGGCAGTGTCTTGGAGCGCTTAACAGTGGTGGAGTCTACCGCCGAGCCGGTGGGAGGGACGAAGTGACCATTCATGTATCAGAAATACAATCTTTCTGGGCGGTCTCTCGATCAGTTTTGCTTCACTTCCTTCAGAACAATGGGTTAAAAACCTTTTTGTATATTTATTGGCGAGATCCACTGCCTGAAATACATCTCCCAGCTTCACATCACTTTGGCCTCTTTCAGGGTGTAAGTGAAGTGTTTCACAGTGCAGTGCAGCTCCTTCATCTCAGGTCAGAGTCAACTTTGCAACTGTTAAGAGCTCAAACACTCCCTGCGTGATGGTGCTATATAAATGAAAGTTGTGGATGTACTTGCAGTAGTTCATACTTAACATCTCTGCACAAGGTCACCAGAATTTAGATCGATGTGGTCAGATGCAGAGTAAGATAGTCATTGTTTTGCATTTGGCAGGAAATAATTCTCCTGTGCTTATCCATCAAATGTTCAACCATTTTTCACACTTATCAATAAAGGTTTACGGGAAGTGTCTGATAAATGCTCCAGAAACACAATTATGGTATAAATCTGAGGTTATGATGTAATTTTGTTTCAAGGTTTTGAAAATTTCACAGATGAGAGTATATTAATGTTTCTCTAAAGCTAAGCTTTCATTTCTCCCATCCTCTGTGTACTTTTCAAAATATCAATTTTCAATGATTTTTCCCCCAGTTAAAGGGAAGGAATCACACTTGCTGCAGTTATTACTGATTACAGACTGTATCCAGTATACATTGTCTTTTTCCCCCATAATTGTGGATCTTTATTCACGTATCAAAGATGCCACATGACTTTGTGTTGACTGCATTTCTACTTCCTGCAAGAATGCACTGACCTCAATACAATTATATACAGGAAATGCTAATTTAGCTGGTTGATTTCAAAATTACTTTACATAGATTTTGAGGTTAAACAAGAAAAAGTTTACAAATGCAGGTTTTAAATGCACTATAATTGTAGATTCCAATTGTGTAGTTTGAATGCTTTTGTGGTGCTACAATAATTATCCTTACATTTGGTGTAATACCTTTCACATCTGGAGGATGTCCTAAAGTACTTCTTAGGATATACTGTAGAGTGCAGTTATTGCGTTTTTAATAAAATCATGGCTGGGGCATTTACACGCCCTATCCCCATATCCCTTAATCCCTCTATCCTTTAGAAATCTATCAACCTCAGTCTTGAATGTGTTCACAGTCTTCTGGGGTAGAGAATTCCACAAATTCACTACCTCAAGAGTGAAGAAATGTTTCCTCAACTCAGTTCGAAAAGGCTGACCCTTAATCTTGAGACTATGACCCCTAGTTTTGGATTCTCCAACAGTCTTGCGGCATCTACCCTGTCAAGACCCTTAAGAATCGTATAGGTTTCTATAATATCACCTCTAATTCTTCTACATTCTAAAGAATATAGGCCTAGTTTACTCAACTTATCCTATTCGCCTCGCAAGCGAGAGACCTGGATTTGATTCCCAGCAGGGAGAAATGTTGGGTAAGTTTCATTATTTCACACCACTTTGTTTACCTGGCAGTAAGTAGGAACCTGGTGGTTAGTCGATTGGCGGATCGCTTTTCTGGGGATAATAATTCCTTCCAAAAAAGTAAGAAGTCGGTCACTTCAATCTATGACTGTTTGTGGCAGACTGTTGTGCACAATTGGCTGCTGTCTTTCGCCCACAAAATATACAGTCAATTCACTTTTTATGGTATATTCTGTGAAGTGCTTTGAGATGTCTCAAAGACATGATAAGGCGCTATATAAAATGGTATTATTATTATTTAGCAAGCTAAATAACCAGTTTCGGTTACATTCTGTGATTATTTTTTTCCCCCTCTCATGTCAGTCAGCCTGTAATCTAATGTAATCCGATTCAAAGTAGAGAAAAGATTCTCCTTTAAGGTGTATTTTAGTATTGCATTGTTTCCTGCCAGTAATATAGGTTAGTCAGCACTCTGAGCAATGTGGTTGAAATGTGCTTGAAACAGGATGTGGCCTGCAATGTGCTGCTGGTAACGATTGATTAGGAGCAGCACGTTGGTAGTTGGCTTATGTTCTAATGTGCTCAGGTATATATATGTGATTCGTTAGCTTCCTGTGTCAGGCTCGCTCTATTTCTGCACTTTAATATGATTCCTGAGTGTTACTGATGGTTTGCTGCAATGATTGATGCAAAGATGGGAGCGTGTTGGAGCTCTGTGCAGGTAAGCTAACAGAATGAGAGGAAATATAGACTTGTGCTTTGACATAATATTTCACAGTTTAGCTTGATCACAAGATCAACAACAAAAAATCTACCCCACAATAATAAGGGCAAATACGACAAAATGCATTTCTCTTGTGAAGTAACCAGTGCAGTTGGTTTTGATTTTGGGTTAAACACAAATTGTTGCATGACTTCTTCAAAACTTTATGATTCTGATTTATTGTGGGGACAGTGTGAAGTGTATTCTTGACAAGCCGAAGCAGAATGGATGCTTACTGATGCTTACAATCGGTATAAGATGCATGCTTGTGATTTATCTCGTAATTGCTGAATGTGTTTGGAACATAGTGAAGTGCCTATCACTAAAGTGAGGTTGATTGGTTTTGTACAGATCAGATTTTTAAGGCATGTTTCCAGGGTGTTGCACCATCTAGATTAAATATGAACTCTGTTTTTTTAAGTCAGCTTTAGGATGTAACATTCCTGATTTGATTTTAACGGTTTGAAGCATGAAACAAAGAAAAACAAGTAAAATATACAAAATACTTGATTGATGAGGAGAAATGATGAGGGATTTATGAATACCGGTTTGTATATGAAACCTTCCAGTGGTGCTAAATGAAGTCATCTAGACTGCCTGTGTGCCCGGGGAATGGGGATATGTACCCTTTGGTGAAGAATTGGTTCACTAATTTAAACATTTTTGGACTTAAGTGGATTTTTGATTAAATTGTACCCAACCCTCTGAGCAGGGAAAATACAACAAAATGCATTTGTCTTATGAAGTAACCAGTGTAGTTGATTTCAATTTTGGGTGAAACAAATTGTTGCATGATTTCTTCAAAACTTTATGATTAACATCTATCGTGGGGACAGTGTAAAGTGCGATCTTGACAAACTGAAGCAGAGTGGATGATTACTCAATTTGGTTACTTAGTCTACTTAACCATTGCATTACTGTGGTGATTCAGTCCTGGTTCCAAGCTGTATTTCCATAGTCCACTGCAATGTTCAGGCAGGGAAAATTGATTGATGTTTTGGAGTCTTTCCTGCTCTCAGTATCATGTCCACTACATTCTTTAAACTTCTTTTATCAGAATTTAGCAATCTTCCTTCTTCTGTATACTGGGACTATTTCAGTTAAATGTTCCAGCCAGGTTTCTGTAATTGCAGTACTGTGCAAGGTTGGAAGCTTGTCATGTAATGTCATGTCACAGCTTGCTGAGCCAATATGCCGCTGTCAGAAATTCCTTTCTGTTTTCCATTTATTCACTGACCATTCTTTCTGATGAGAGTTGCTCCCTGTGTGCAGTGGTTCCCAATGGAGAAGCATATAAACATCTTGTGGTTGTAATAATTGAGCACAAATCTGATGTGAAGGGCCACATACAACTCAGAGTTTCATTAATAACAACATATTTGAACGAAATGTAAAGTTGCCTGAAATTGCTTTTATTTTTTGTAATTTAGGCTGTGATCTATGCTTATTTTACCTTGATTTTGTTCTCTTTTTTAATGAACTTTTGACTAAAAATGGCAGCTTCCAGGTTGTACGGTTGCTATGTCGCTTCCTGAGGGCAGGCAGTACCTTTAACGTCACTGATGACTTTATGACCTGGTGTAGTTTTGTATGAAAATAATCCGAATGCATTATTTTGTTCTTTAAACCTTGTAAATATAGTCAATTCACTTTACAGTATACAAAACACAAAATACTGCAGATGCTGGAAATCTGAAAACAAAAACAGAAGTCGCTGGGAACACTCAGCAGGTCAGGCAGCATCTATGGAGAAAGGAGAGTGAGTCAACGTTTCAGGTCCATGACCCTTCATCAACGTTTCGGGTCCACAACTCTTCGAAACATTGACGAAAGGTCATGGACCTGAAACGTTGACTCACTCTCCTTTCTCCATAGATGCTGCTGAGTGTTCCCAGTGACTTCTGTTTTTGTCTTTACTTTACGGTCTATTCTGTGAACACTTTGAGATGTCTCGAAGACGTGATAAGGCCTTCACATATATCAAATATATTGAATGTTATAATGAAGACTGTTTTTCAAAGAATAACTTTCTCCAGACTTCAGTCATAAGATTTTTTTTTAACTTCTAAATGCAGTAACTCTTTGACTTCTCGAATAATGCTTCTAGAAATATTGGAAGTATTAGTACCTGATTGCTGCTGCAATGGCACAACTCTTCTGTACAAAATGTAGCCTGGTGTATCATGACAGGAATGCCTTCCATGTATGTAGTGGCGCAAGGCCAGCAAATGCTTGCCATTATCTGTGAAGTTGCTGACAACAGGTTTAAGTGGTATGTTGGAACATGTAACTTTGAGAAATGTAGTCTGCACTGCAGCAGATTGCATAATAACCTGGTTTGCTATTGAGGCTAAGACTGAGAACTTTGGAAGGGAATTGTATACACATTTGAGAAGCGTATGGGGAAGAGCAGGCATTTGGGATTAATGGTTTGATGAATTGACGTTCGATGGACTAAAAGACCTTATTGAATGTGTATTTTTATGGTTGTTGATTCTTTGTCTAAAAACTAAAGAACAGAATCTTGAGCAAGTAATAAAATGCGGCAGATCATTACTGTGCTGTAATGTGTGCTTTGACAACATGTTCAAACCTGTTGTAAATGAGTAGTGTTAATTAACATTTAATATAAAGTCCTTGTCTGTTTCATTAATAGTGGGTTCAAAACTACAGTATTCCTAAATGTACATCGTTTTGACTTCTGAATAATGCTAATGCCCAAAGTTGCCTGAAAAGATTTATGTGCTGCTCTTGTGGATTCCCACTTAGTAAGGCCTTATTTATTAGTGCCAAAAAAGTCTTCCTGAGCTTAAGTGATCTGACTGAGGACAGTAGCCTGTGAGTAAGCTGAGAGGTGCCATTCTATACACTCATAAACTGAACTGTAAGATTTGGTCATCCCTCATTTAGAGTATTGTGTTCAGTTTTGGACATCTAATCTTAGGATGACTGTCTTTTAAACAATAGGATGTTTAAAAGACAGTCATACTTGAGGAGTCGATGTGTAAGGAGTATGGTGAAAGACTGGGGCATTGGGCTGAAAAGATCTGCCTAGGTCTAAAACTGGTGGAAGAGTCTCGTTGGGCGGACTGACCTCTTTGTGTTCTTGTTTTCCTCTGCTTCAGGTAAAACTCTTATTGAGTTTATAAATTATAGCATCATTTACCTCTGGGGAAACAACCGAGAAACTCCAGCAGTTTTCCTCTGTTTAGTATATTGGTTTTCAGCCCTAGATCCCTTGCACGGTTATTTCATTTTGGTCCATGGTGAAAGTACTTTACAGGTTCCTGCCAATGCGAGTCAGGAGGTAACAGTTAGATGGTGTGCGTGATTGATTTTATTTCTTTACAAAAATGTTTCTCCATTCTGTCTTCATACCTCTTGAACTCTGCTTGATGACTCCCCTGACAGACTAGCTGAAATGCACAGCGTGAGGAATCACAGGCACAGTTTTGTCTGTGTGCCAGTGCAGAACTGGTGGGCACTTCATTTATAAAGGTGTCACATGAGACAATGCTTTTCCTTAGTGTGTTGTATCACATTGCCAAGATTACACACAGACAAAATATGATTGGAATTTTGTTAACATTTGAAGCAAAATCGCAGTTGCGAGGAAATAGGAATGAGCAGCGCTGATGGAGTATTCAGGCCTACACTGTCCACTGCCTACTGAATATTTAGTAGTTTTCAATTTGTTTGAATCTAAATCCAATGATTTAATTTATTTTCTAGTGTCGCCCTGAACCCTTACAATGAGTCTGAGCATTTTTTAAAATTAATATTCACAAGGGCTTCAAGGAAATTGTTATCCTTTTCAACTGTTATGCTTTCCCTAAGCAATTTTCCAGGGGTAATGAGTTGGTATATAACATGATCATAATATTGGAATTTAGTGATTTCTGGAACCAACAGAAAATTTACAGCATTCCCCAAATAGTGATAATGTTACCTTGCATTTATCTAGTCTTTTACATAAAAAGTAAATTTCTCAAAGTTCTTTATAATATAACTTACTAGAACAATAACAACTTGCATTTGTATAGGGCCCCTCATGCGGGATAGTGGTCTCGGAATGGATTACTATTATTTGTTAAAATGTGAATATAGCTTTGGGTTACAACTGAAGTGATTCTGAAATTAATTCCCGCTTTTCAGAGTGAATTCAGATTAATTACCAGATCAGTGATCTACTAACAAGGTGGTCTTGAACAAGTGATAATATAGAATCAGAGAATTATACAGCACAGAAGGAGGCCATTCGACCCATCGTGTCTGTGCTGGGTCTTTGAAAAGAGCTATCCAAATCAATCCCATTCCCCGTGCTCTCCCCATAGCCCTGCAAACTTGTCCTCCCCAAATAATTATCTACTTCTCTCTTAAAAGTTGTTATTCCAGGCAGGGCGAAACCTTGGGCAAGTTTCCTTACTCCACACGCCTAATAATAATCCCTCCAAAACAAAAAAAAAAACAATAATAAATTGGTCATTTTCAATCTACGACTGTTTGTGGGACATTGCTGTGCGCAATTGGCTGCCGCGTTCGCCCACAAATATACAGTCAATTCACTTTACAGTCTATTCTGTGAAGCGCTTTGGGACGTCCTCCCGACGTGAAAAGCGCTATATCAAATGCAAGGATTATTATTATTATTATTATTATTGAATCGGCTTCCACCAGCCTTTCAGGCAACGCATTCCAGATCTGAACAACTCGCTGTGTGAAAAAAATTCTCCTCACCCCCCCTCTGTTTCTTTTAACAACTATTTTAAATCGCTGTCCTAGGGTTACCAACCCACCCACCAGTGGAAATAGTTTTGTATTGTTCACCCTATCGAATCCCCTCATAATTTTGAAAACTTCTATTAAGTCTCCTCTTAACCTCCTCTGCTCCAAGGAGAATAAACCCATCTTCTCTAGCCTCTCCTGATAACTGAAGTAAATCGTATTAAATTGTATTAAATATAAATCGTATTAAACTGACATTGAAACCTGAAACAAGAATTTTTTAAAATAACATTTGTGATGACTTTCCTCCTTTAGGATCAGTTCGAAAACTTGGAAAAACACACCCAATGGGGAATCGAATTTGTGGAGAAATGCACCAAGTTTGTCAAGGACCGGACAGATATTGAAATCAGCTATGCAAAGCAGCTCAGGTAAGTTCTGTGTCAAGGGCTGAAATATTTATCTGTTTTGCTTTGTATTCCTTGAAGTTGTATGCTTACACAAATATTATATAGATGCTCTATAATAAATAATGAAATTACTTATTTACAGCGTTAAATAGATATTAATATTCTCGGGCAAGGCAAAACTTTGGGCAAGTTTCCTTGCTCCACACGCCTCTCTTTACCTAGCAGTAAGTAGGAATCAGGTTGTTAGTCGATTGGTGGATCACTTTCCGAGGGTAATAATCCTTCAAAAAAAATTGGTCACTCAGTCCATGACTGTTTGTGGGACACTGCTGTGCGTAATTGACTGTCGTGTTTCGCCGACAAAATGTGCAGTTAACTCACTTTATAATATAGACTGTGAAGTGCTTTGAAACCTCTCAAAGATGTTATAATAAATGCAAGTATTATAAATACAACATTCTGTGTCCTCAAAGATATTTCTCCCCCCAAGATTGCATTCTATATTGGTTTGATCTGGATGGGAAAACTCAAATGGGGTGTGAACGCACGACCTTCTGAAGCAGAACTCTATAAACTGAGCCAGGCTGACACTTAGACACTCCAGCACCTCATCCGAGTGGCCTGTGTTTATGTGTAGAGTTGTGTGCTGACACAAAGAGTGCAAGCCACTCAACTGTAGAGGGTATTATTGCCTTGCCTGACCTCCACTCACTCAGCTGCCACAGCCATGCGCAACAGTACAGGCTGGTTTAGAGGGACCAGGAGTTGTTTCTCTGCTCTCCATTGCAACCCTGGCAAAGGCCCGCAAACTCGGCACAGACCAGGATTCAATCCAGCAGCTCCTGCTCTGTAAATTGCAGCTTTAAACACTTCACCATTGGGGCTATCCTATTAATTAAAAAAAATTACAAAATGAATAATCCTTGAATTTGATCCAGTTTGCATCAGAGGGACATGTCCATATGTTTGATGATCGTTCTTTCCTCTGCACTCCCTCAATGGCCTGGCAGCCTTGATTTATCTATATTGAATTTCATTTGCCAGTTATCAGCCCATGCACAAACTTTATGCAGCTCTCTTTGTAAGACCTTCGTGACCTTCTCTGATTCCAGTCTACAAGAATACAATACAATTTACATTCACAAAGCGCCTTTCACATCTGGAGGCTGTCTCACAGCGCTTGACACTGAATAAGTACATAAGAAGTGAATGTGCTGCATGGCTGGAAAGTACCTCAGGGTTCCGGTACTAAGCTGAACTGCACAAACTACCTTCATGGTATGCATTATTCAATTTCAGAATGTTTAACAGGCTTGCAACATAAACCTTTTTACTTACTATTTAATTGATTTGTGAAATAAGTTTCCATGAAGATGTGTCTGTATATAAAATAAAAAAACTCAAGATTTATAGGCCACAGGCTCTTTAATGCTAATTTATTTTATCACAATTTATCGAACAAGGATTGAGTTGACCCCAGATTGGCTTAGGTGTGCTAACCTCAGTTTGACTCTTTCCCACAGTAAGTACGCTGAAATTGTCTTAATTTAAACCAGATACTCCTTAGTGGTTGGGGGTTGGGGGGGGTGGTTAGGACTCTTGTGCCAGCACACAAGAGGCAGATCTGTGGTTGAAATCCTTTAGTATAATCTGATGCACATCTCAGATACTGAAATGTAATATTCTGTTGGCGTTTCTGGTGTTCCTTGAGAAGTCCATTGTGTGGTGGAAGCAGCGCGTTTTAGTACAGGGATTACAGTACCAGCAAAAGCAGTCTGTCCATTATATTCTCTCTCTCTCTGACCCAACCACTTCTCTTCTGTCTGGATGAGCCTTTTTAATACAAATGTAAGCTGTAGACTGGTTTTGGTCTTTGTATTGACACTAACCTTTTAAAGGGAAATACATCAAATGCTGGAATTGTGAGATTGCAATGCCTTGTGAGACGACAGAGATGGTGCCTTATATCATGTAAGCCTTGAAGCTTCTGAGAGAGATTGTGCAGCATATTGTAAATAATTCATTGATCATAATTTAAGATGTAATTATTTAGGACTTGCTGCACACTGGCTCGGGAGCACCATTTCTGGACATTAAGTAAAGCAGTTTTCATTCATTGTCCAGAGAATCGAAATCCCAGAATGGATTGCACATTCAACTATCTTTTCCATGCATTGAAACTGTCATCAGCATATGTTTAACAAGAGATTGTCACCTGTACTGAGCTACACACACTCCCAAGACATTCTGTCCAGAGATAGTGGACTGGTCACTAGCATGTTTGAAGGAAAACGCCCATGCTTTGAAATGGTCATGAAAAGCCTTATCTATACAAGTGCAAGTGATTGTAATGGAAATTGGAATATACATCATCCTCCAGGAGGACCATCTTAAGGCATTTGAGACTCAGTACCTTGACAAAAGAGCCTTTCACTTATTTCATAATTCTTCTCCTCCACTACCTCTCTCTGTCACGGCCACTGTATACCCACATTTCTGCCATTTAGTCAGAATGAACGAAAGGGCTGTGCACTCTGTGACTTGAATAGCACTGATGCTCCTACAGAAGGTTAGCGGTGAGACTGAGAATGATGGTTAGCTTTCCTCTTGCTGAAGGATTAGAGTATCTCTTCCAACAGCCCTCTTGGGATCTGGCATTTTCCATTGCATGTATTGGTGAATCTAGGAATTACTGGTTTCTCATTTCTGGAATCGCATTGGCTAAAGACACACTTTACCAACTCAAGTTTAGAAAATCGTAACTGTCAATAAGTAAAGGCAATGTGATGCGTCAGTGATTTGTTCCAAAATCTGGAGTTTGCTTTGTCTCGCTCGTTGTTCCCAGGAATTGTGTGATATGCCAATCGCTTGATGTAAACTACCATAATATCAAAGAGACAGCTCTGATGATCAAAACACTTATCAGATTGTGTTCAGATTCCTGCCTACTGAATATTACAAAATGCTGCTGTCCTGAGATGAAAAACATGAAAATGTATTCAGAAGAAGAAAAATTATGGGGACGTATTGCAAAAGGTCAGCCTGGCTCACTTGGCAGCAATCTTGCCTCATGAGTCAGAAACTTGTGGATTCAAACCCACATCAGAACTTTGAAATCACAGACTAGGCTAATACTCCAGTGTAGTGCAGGGGAACACTGGATTGCTGGAGGTGCCGACCTTTGGGTGAAACATTAAACCAGGGTCCCATTCAAAATGAATGTCAAAAGATCCAATAGCACCATTCGTAAAGAGAGGTTGAGTTTGTTCTGGTGCCCTGGCTAACAATCCCCAGATAAAATTACTCATTCAATTCATGGCTGTTTGTGGGAAATTACTGTATACAAATTGGCTGACGCGTTTGCCTACAAATACATCACTACATCTTGCAGTGAATCCTGTGAAGCACTTTCAGATGTCCCTGGCGAGAAAAACACAACATCAAATACAAGGATTATTGTTATTTATTGTTATTTGGTGAGAATGCGAGCCCAGATGCACTTTGTATTCCCAACATAATGAGGTTTAGGTTGCACCTGAGAAGCCAGGAGCTTATTCAGAGAATTTAGGAGAAGGAATCTGGTGTCCTCTTTCCCACACTGTTGCATTGTTGTGTTGCCTGAAGGAAACAAAATTCTGACCAACTGGCCTTACTTCTTGTGCATCATTGAGCAGACTTACTATAATTCATTTTCACATTTGGTATAGCGCTTTTCACATCAGGAGGATGTCTCGAAGCACTTCACAAGATAAAATGTCTTGACAGGACTATAAAGTGCAGTTGGTGGGTGAATGTGGCAGCCAATTTGCGCACAGCAATGTCCCACAAACGGCCATTAAATGAATGACCAGTTTTATTTGGGGGTTTGTTGGACATTAAACCAGGGTCCCGTTCAAATGAATGTCAAAAAATCCGATAGCACCATTCGTAAAGAGAAACTTCCTTCTCTTTTCAAATACTGCTACGGGATCTTTAACATCCACCTGAACAGGCAGATAAGATATTGGCTTCACCTCTCATGGGCATTGATTCCAGCCTAGTCAGTCAGCATCTCCAACAAAACCCCAGCACTAGACTGTGTGAGTTCCAAATCTCACGATACGAGCTGAGCCAAGCTGACTTTATCACACATGCAGCTTTTTCAATCAAATGAATTAACAGAAGAAATGGCAAGTGAAACTCCTTTTCCTGTCGTTAACCTGCTCACATTGCTCCAACCCACAGGCAAGGTCGCGACACTGCTGCACCAGAATTTCTTCTAAGATCTGTTTTGTTTGCAACACTTCTGTTGTTCTCTGTGACAAGAGGTTATAAATGACCACGTAAGGTTTCTGTGCTGTGCAGGAAGCTTCTTTTTGAAGCACCATTTCTGCCTCATAGGAAATGCCTTCAGACAAACTGATTAGAGTATTTAATTGCTGGCATTAACATTCATTTATTAGTGAATTTTTGTTTGCACTCTCTTGGTGCTTGGAGTTAGTGCTGACTATACAGTTCAAATAAAATCATAAAAACTTTCACAAACAATCTTGCATACCACTGAGGAAAACAGGAACAGAAGCTCTGTCAGTCTGTTCCACCAATTTATTAGATCATGGCAGATCTTTTAATGCCAATGCCCAGCCCTTTTGCCATCCCTCTGAATTTTGTTACTGCCCTAGTAATAATAATAGTTGCATTTGATATAATGCCTTTCATGTCAGGTTTCACTTCACAGGATTTACTATAAGAGTGTAATAACTCCATTCTTTATAGGTACACATGATAACCAATTTGCGCACAGCAATATCCCACAAATAGACATGAAGTGAATGATCACTTACCTGGGGGGATTGTGGGCCAGGACACGAAGAACTCTCTCCTCCTTTTGAATAACCCCTGGCATCTTTGCCTTAATGTCCACCTGAACAGGCAGGCGGAACCTCGGTTAAAATGACAGATGGCACTTCCAACAATGCAGCCCATCTAACTGCCTTGCATCATATTTTAACACTATACCCCAGTGGTACCCAACCTTTTTGGTCGGCCAATAAAATAAATTTTCGTGATTGAGTATTTCTTGATTTTTGCCATACATCAAGAAAAACTTGGAAACATACCACTGGTCGAAGATGGACTTACCTAGACTAGTGCGAATGTTCGGGTGGGAGGGATAGTGGCAGGGGTGCTGTTTATTGGCACAGAAGTGGGGCATGGGGGGGGGGGCATAGTTTGGCTGGCACTGATTTAATCTAACCCATTAATTCCTTTCATTCTTTTAAATACCTCAACATTTAAATATTTATTATTTGTAGTTAAATGTTTCCAATTGTATGTAATTAAGATAGTGTACAGTTACAATCGATCAGTTCCTAGTGCTACAATGTAATTGGACCACAAAGATCAATGGAAATTCTTTGTTAAATGCTCATGGTATCACAACAGAATGTTTCTGCATTGATTTAAACCAAGTCGTTTGATTATTTTTCCGCTTCATTACCAGTAGTCTGCATAAATTGCAAAAATCCAGTTTAGGTTGATGAATTTACAAAAGTTTAGTTTCTTGCAGTGCTGTTCTGCAGCAAGGTGAGAATGCCAGCATTACAGCCATCTATCGTCCAAAAGTTGAAGGTATTAGAGCAGCATGAAATAAATAATACAGAATAAACATAAAACATGTTGTTTTACATCTGCAAATAGGTAAGGTAACCTGGAGGGTGATCCTCCCTTTGTTGAGATTGCACAAAAGTTGAGTGATTTCCTCTTCATATCCCCACTTTTTTCTCTTCTGTAAAAGACTTGGATTGTGCAAACATCAAGGCTATACCTATCAGTGTCAGATAAGTCTACTGTACCAACAAACCTACAGATGTGATCATACCCTTTGCTCATCTTAACATCTTCATCCTCTTATCAGGCAACTACTGACCCATTAGCCTGACATCAGTAGTCGGAAAACTAATAGAATCAATCATCAAAGTAAAAAGGCACTATCGTGTTTTCCTGTTAGCTAAAAATAGCACCCCATGGCGACTGGGGTTCACGTTTTTCTGGAGTTTCAGGGTTAACAAAACATTTTTTTTGTTTCCTTAGGAATCTTTCAAAGAAGTATCAGCCGAAAAAGAATTCCAAAGAAGAGGAAGAACAAAAGTGAGTGTGTTCGGAACCAAAGCAGTCTTGTAGCTTGCTTTGTGATAACTGCCCTGAAGTAGCTCAGATAAGATTGTAGCCTGATTTAGTGTAAAGGCATCTTGCTACTCAATTCAAGCAAAGCTAAATAATAATCAGGATACAGGGGAGCAACCAGTCTGCTGATCCTTGATGTCTATTTTGTGTAAAGTGGGATCCTGTTTTTTGTTTTTGAAATAGAATGACTTAATGTATTTACATGGTTAATTACTCCATTCTGCATTATTTATTTAATGTTCCTCTTATACCTTCACATACCAACTTGTGATTATTCTCCTTTGGGGGAGGTGGAGAAGAGGTAAGTGAGCTAAGCTGACTCCAAAGTATCATCCTTAGCAACAGAATATCGGAATTGAGTCAACCTTTTGTGGTTGTCTCTAGTTCAGTGCCTGAGCCGGATGGACCTGCAGCACTTCAGGCACTGTTGATGACGGACTGGCCACTCCAGATAGACTGGTGCAGGGATTTTCCCACTCTGCTCCTGTTAACCCTGCAAGCCAAAATCCTAACAGGTTGGGGTGGTCCAAGCTTCCCAGAGAGTGCTATGGGGACAAGGACAAACTATATGTTTAGCTGGATAAACGCCAGCAATACACCATTGCACCTATGGGAATGTAAACTGACATACTAATATATGAACATCCCAAACCTTGGGTCGTGCCAATGTGCACCTAACACTCTCTGGAATTGGGTAATCGGGTGTATTGTTCCAGGGAAGGAGTGGAAATTCCATTCCAGACACATGGAACCTTCCATGTGTGGGTGGCAAATGTATGCAGAACTCTGTCTGGTTTGCATACTCTTAGGCACCGTGATAAGTTTCTGTGTGTGTCAGATACCTGCAGTTTGTTTCGGCTGCTGACCAAAAGAACATATACATCTCACAAAGGGAAGGCAAAATCAAAGCACAGCAATGTTTCTTATTTTTGTGTATTACTGTGTCAGTTCTAATTCTGCTCGGTATTCAGAAAACATCTAAAATCTCCCGCATCTCTGCTTGGTTTTCACGTTGACTTTTTAAAATTCTGTTTTCTGCAAACAATGAAGATTTGCTTGTGTTTTATATCATAAATCATGCGTTTGAAAGTTTGTTCTTCAGAATGGGTGACCTTAGGATCCGACAACGGAAGTTATAGTTAATTCCAGATTTTTTGTTACAAGCCTTGTTCAGTGATTTTAGATAGATTTGTTTTAGATCTTTTAACTCTTTTCCTGAAGATAGGAACAATACTTAGCTTCTAATTGGAGTGTTTTATTTCGCAGATTCACGTCATGTCGAGCGTTTTCAGCCATTTTGAATGAGATGAGTGACTACGCAGGTCAGCGTGAAGTAATTGCTGAGAACCTGACGGGGTTAATAATCGCAGAGCTCTCGCGCTATGTCCAGGAGCTCAAACAGGAGCGCAAATCGGTAAGTGCACAAATCATCCACAAAGTATAGTCGATTAACTTTACACTGTATCCTGTGAAGCGCTTTGAGATATCTAAACGACATGATAAAGTGCTATAACAAATGCAAGGATTATTCCTATATAATAAGTATTTTGTTAGTCACTTGATCATATTCGTGCTGTTGTTTTGTAAACCGGTTGAGTCCTGGTCTGTTAATAATTAAACTGAGATAAAACTATTACTGGATTTAATGCTCAGCTCTGACTGTGGGCTTTGTAATCCAAATATGTTTTAGTCTTTTGGATTGGCAGTATCTGGTGTCTGAGATACAGTCTGTGCCTTGCACGAGAGGAATTTAAATGTAACAACAGTTACAGATGTGAGTAGGTGGAGGGGAGGTCTGCTGCACTAAAATTGAATTGTTGTGACCTCCAGCTGGAGGTTTATTAGACGTTCCCTCAACGTGTATTCCACACCCAAATTAGTGTGACAGTAATCACAGGTATTAACTTGTTCCATAGAAATTTGCCACAGTCGGAGGTCATTCTTTGTATTAATGTCGGTGATTGTCGGTGATCCAGTGAAGTGGAAATTCTAGATTGTTTTGGAGGATCTATATTTATCTGCGCACAAATATTTGCTTCAATGTAACAGCTTAAATATATTTTCTGAGATCGTATTATTTGTTTCTAAAATTGTTGACTGCTGATAATAATTCTAGTTTGAAAGAAAGGGTTGCTTTTTCAATGGAGATCAGGCTTTGAAGCACTGTGATGTGGAGGGATAGGACACGGCTTTACACACCAAATTGCTCACCAGGTTACTTTCGACAAATGTAAATTGTTGTTGTTATTGTTTGAATCTCGGCCTGCAATTGTGGAATTGTGCCAAGTTGAGGTTCTGCTCCACAGGGAGGAAGGAAAAGTCAAGGGAACCACTATTTTCAGACCATCTTGAGCACCTGCTGCACCATTTCCTTTCCTGCAAACCAGTCTGAGTTTCCTGTATCAAAGGGCTGTGCTGTTTTTGACTCGAGCTATATTTGTTATTGCTTTCCTGGATGTTTGTGTACCTATCTTACACTGGGTCTGTGAATCCAGATCATTAATATACATGAGGAAGAGGTGGTGTCCCAGAACCCTTATTTAAAAAAAATTGTTCACTCAATGCACGACTGTTTATGGGACACTGCTCTGCGTAAATGACTGCCGCGTTTCCATTAATTTTACAGTACATTCTGTGAAGTGCTTTGGGATGTCTCAACGATGTAATAAAGATTATATCAAACAAATGTAAAGATTATTATTATTACTGCTAAGGCACCCCACTTAATATCTCTCCCCATTTTGACGCAGCTCTCTAGTGATTATGTTTTGAGAAGTTGCGATGTGAATCACAAAGACAAGTTTGTACCCCAAAATTAACAGTGTTGATGCTGGAAATACACGGTAGGTCATGCAGTATCAAATTGAGAAAGATAGTATAGCCCTTCATCATAACTATAAATGCCGTCCATGCCAACTTCAGAGCAAATGCTGTCTGAACTACACTTCCATCTGCTATGTGTGATAGTAACACCTGTGTGCTTCCTACTGCTATAAATCTGGAGGCATTGCAGCATGAACTAGCTAACACCCTGTCCCCACGGACGCATTACAACTGATTTATTGTCATGTTTACATGCCGGACTCTCATACCCAGATGCAGGTGTCATCTATTTGTGCCCTTTATGTGGAGAATGGGGTGTGGCGACAGGTACAGGAGGTCTGAAGCCTCATGTGGATTTTTGTAAGCCAGGGATTTTATTTCTGATCTTATTACAAGCACTTGCATTGACTGCCAATAAACTCAGCTTCAGTGCACTGGCTGCTTTGATTTGCTAGGTGAATAGTATAACAATTTCCATGAAGCATATCTGTAAATGGTGGCATGAGCATTGTGCCAGCAGAGCTTGGAATCCCAAATAGCAGTGATAATACAGTGCAATCCAGCTTCATAAATGCCATAGAACCATCTTGTGGCAGGCTTCTCAGAACACTATCAGAACAGTTTCTTGACCAGCAGCTTGCTTCTGTCAGCCATATGTCATCAACCTCTATAAAATACTCTGCACTAATGTTGTCACTTACAGTATAGTCAGATATCGATCAGCATTTAAGGATGACTGGGTATCATTTAAAAGAAAAGTATTCATCATTTTCTTCCCTGGTTTGTCTTCATTCACCACCTTAGGCTTTGCAAATATTTCTCTGCCACTAGCCAGATATCTGTCAAATCAATCCTCAGAGAGTGAGAGTATTTATTGCCAGTTACTGTAACAATGTAATTGAAGATGGTTATCTTCAGCTCACATTTTGATAAATGAACCGCATTTTAAGGAGAACCAGCAGCCATTTAATTTATCTGCATTTTAAGCTTGTTGATCTAATTGGTTAAATGCAGTTTACCAGTCATTACAACTAATCCCTGTACCAACAACAACAATTTACATTTGTGTACTGCCTTTCACGTCAGGAGGACATCCCAAGGCGCTGGACAGTCAGGGTGGTTGGGATCAGGAGGGATGGATGGGTAGGAGGGTGACCGAAGGCAAGGTCGAAGAAGAGGGTCTTGATGGAGGCAAGGGAGGGGGAGAGGTGAAGGGACTGTGGGATGGCGTTCCAGGGGTAGGGGCAGAGAGGCTGAAGGCCCGACTGCTGATGGTGGAGCGGGCTGGAGCCAGGCAGAGATGGGAATGATCGGGTCACGGAGCTTGGTGCGGGTGAGGACACAAGCTGCAGAGTTCAAAATGATCTGCAGCTTGTGGAGGGAAGAGTTGGGAAGATCAACAAGCAGGGAGTTAGCGTAGTCTGGCTGTGATGAATGTGTGTGGCTGAGAGTCTCAGCGGCCTCAGGGGTGAGGCAGTGGCGGGGGTGGGGGAAGGCACTGAGGCTGCAGGTGTTGTAGATTTCTCCTGTGTGCACTGCAGAGCACACTGCACAGCGTCAGCAACACAAACAGCTGCACTTTATTCCACTTTATCATAGACTTTCCTCTAAAGAGTGGCATAAAACAATGAAGGGCTTCCAAACAATGAAGGGCTTCCAAAACTATGTTGAGCTTCAGGTTGGAACTCTACCTCAATCCTGGCGTTTCTCTGGGATGGAAGATTGCAAGACCACAATTCACCATGGAGCATTTTTTTTACTGTTCAGATAACCCACTGTGGCTGCCAATTGGACTCCAGCTGTTCTGAAGAGAATCGAGTCAGTGTTTTGTGACTCTTTTTAAGAGTATCATACAATTGAGTTTGATCTCCCTATGATGCTGAGACTGATGCATTTTACTGAGACTGGAGTTCTTTGAGGTTAGGTACAAACATTCACTCATTCAGCAAAGTAATGAAGTAGCTGTGTTGTAGTAGTACTAGAGAAATCCTTCAGCCAGTCTATAAAAATACAATCCGTTTTTATTTTGAAGGATTGAATAACTTTGAAAGGATGCAATGCCGTTTCCATCTGTAGATTGAAAGAATGAGAACAAAAAGATAAACCTCATTAGCTCAAAAGCACTTGCATTATTTTTTCAGTGTTCTGATAACAACCTAAGGTCACAGAACCTTCATCATTGAACCACACAATGTATTTAGTGCAGAATTAAATTAGATTTTATTGCTATGAGTTCACAACTCTTTAATGGTTCAGACATTTTAATTTATAGATTCTAATTATGTGCCTGAGCTTGTGTTAACCACTGAAAATTAAAACTTCAAATATATTTGAATCTCTTTTCCTCCCTCTTCTGAAGCTACTGATGTTTGATTCTGTAGATAGACACTGCAGCCCTTCACTAGCTTAGGCAAAAGACTTTTAATGTGTGAGCCCTAGACAGTGAGTATTGGCAGACTATTGGGCCCTGAGGTCATCACAGAATTATCACACACAAACCTTACAGTAATAAAGCCAATCGATTCACTCCCACCCTAGTTGAGATGAACAAACTGAGCCGAGACCGGGTATTGAACCTGGGACCTTGCTTGTCTACAGGGCAAATTGCCACACGATTTATGGTTCATTTACTCATTGAGAATTTCAACTTCAATCAGCTGTTGATGTATGTGATTGAATCGGGAAATCCTATGTACATTGTAAGCCTTTTGAGAATCCTTCTTGTGTTTAATTGCTCTTCCCCTGATGGTCTTAGCTAAATTTGCCTTGATGTGTAATATTGCGATTCTGGAGTTCCTGAATCCAGTGCAGAAGAGAAATCCCCAGTTTTGCCCCTTCTCTTGCTGAGGCAAATGAGATGCGGTGTAAACCTCACCCTGACGCTGTGGCTTTTCACTACCAAATGGGATCCCCTATAGACTGAGGTAGCCCCAGATTTGGGTCGGGAGGGGGTTGAGTGCTGCGCACCATCCATTTTACACAAAAATGTCCTCCAGAGACTGGCCAGCTCCTGTGACAAACTGGTAGTGTACAACAGTCTCAATTCCCCGATTCAATCCCCAATGAGTTAGCTAATCTTTACCATGGGGGAAGTTACAGTTGTATAACTTTTGCCCAATTTTAGCTTTTAGAAATCTCAGCTGCTTGTGCCCTTGTCAAGACAATTGAGAAATAATAACCTACTTGAAGCACAGTGCGGTTTTGTAGGCAGAATAAGCAAAGCCAATCGATAAACATGGGCAACAAAAATGAAATGGGATGCACTTTAATAAATTAGATCTGATTTCGTCACTGATCAAATGCACAGACCTCTTTATGCTGAAGATCGCCGTGAAAACCCTGTGATAATTACTTGAGAATTTTGTCTGACTTTCCTTTGATGGTCAGAAAATTTTAAATTTAGAAAGTATGATGTTTTTTGAAAAAAGGCTCCTCACTTTCAATTGAGTTCTTGCAGATTTTCAAGTTGCATGTTCATTAAAGATGTATAAGATCCTGTAGCTCAGTGGTTAGAGCACTCGCCTTGCAAGCGAGACACCTGGGTTCAATTCCAGGCAGAGGGCGAAACCTTGGGCAAGTTTCCTCACTCCA